ATATATAAATAAAAATAATAAGTTAATTTCTTCCACGAGGATCCAACTTAACATAAATAGAATTTTAAGAACCATAAGAGTATTTAAGTGGCTCTCGGTATATCTGTCAGTATCGGAGGTGTCTATGAAGAAGGGACCAACACCCACACCCACCCTCAAGATGTATTCATCTATTAAACTGACGGATAAAACTAATAAAAGAAATAGCATCAAATAAAAAAGAAAGAAGCTTGCTGTTCATTAATCAATACATCATAATAATCTGAAATCAGAGAAATGAAACATCCTTATACATATAAATGAATATATCCACTGTTGATATATGTGTAGACCGTAATAATATAAAAAAATGAAATGTATTTTTATATTAAAATAAATATATCTACTTTTCATTGATTAAAAGAACATAATGATCTTTAAAAAAAATGAAATACATTCATATATATGCTATAACATTTACGAATGAGATAGAAAAATACAAATGGGGATCTTTCATCAAAAAAGCGAACTTGAATATTTATCTAATCTATCAGAGAGACATATTCCTTTATATTCAAGCTATATCTACCTGTTATTGATGTGGATCTGTAATAATTCGTGGTGACCTTGATAAACGAGAAAACAAAACGTGTACTTTTGCCAAATTAAAGAAATCGAATCTTTACGTGGCCTATTAAAGAAGCGACATATTCCTTTGTATTCAAACTATAGCTACCTATTATTAATGACGATATGTAATAATTCATTTTGACCTTGATGAACGAGAAAAATAAACGAGTACTTTCACCAAATGAAGGAAACTGAATACTTATCTATTCTGTTTAAAAAACGTATTGATATATATTGAAGCTACACCTACCTATTTTTAATGGCGATATGTAAGAACACATTGTGACCTTGACGAACGAGAAAATAAGAGAACAACAAACCAATATTTTCGCCAAATGAAAGAAATCGAATATTTATCTATCGTATTGAAGAAGAAGCATGCTTATTCTTATTCTACACTATGAACTTTTAAAAATTCTGTTTTGTTCAAAATCGGGTTTTAAAGTATCCAAATCATTGTCGTAGTTTTTTTATGCATTAATCGAATTTCAAACAGTCCGGAAATGTTTGATTTTCAATTTTGTAGAAATTTAATTTGATTTTAAAAAGATAGTGGAAAATCAACAGTGGTTGTAGGTATAATTTGAAAACCAATTTGGATTTGGAGAAAGCCATTGAATAACCGAACACTATGGAGTCTTTGTTCATTCATGTAATAGTCAGCCGGTAGAGTTATACATTCATTGTTTTCTTCGACATCTTTAGTGAGGATTTAAATGAAAACAGAAAGTATTTATTATATTTTCAATAATGCATTCGAATAAATTCAATATTAAGACTTTTTTCAAGTTAAAATTATAATACTTCAGTTATTTTATTGGAAACATTTTCTCTTGGAAAGAAATAATCTTGGTTGATTTTCAGATTCATGGAAAATGTTTCAATCGATAAATACAATGCAAAACTCTAGGAACGCCTATACGAATTCACTCTCAATTTTCTAATTAAACAATCAAACATGTAATCTCTACATTTTTTAAATAGTGTATTTTCAAGAAAGTAAAAATTCATCGATAAATTCGTGGACTTTCCCGGAATATCTTTTATTATACTCCATAAATTATTTTCTGCTTTACAGTGTAGTTATAACTATTTATGATTGATGACGAAATATAATAATTTCTTCTAACCTATTTAAACGAAGTTGAAAAAATACGGTCTGTTTCATAAAAGGAATGGAATCGAGTATTTATGTATTCTACGAAAGAAGACACAACTGAATTTCTATCTACGTTATAACAACCTATTATTGTTGATGATAATAAGTAATTCGTTATAACTGTCATATAGGATATTGAGAAAATAAAAATAAATTGGATGTATCTGCCGAATAAAATGAATCGAAAATTTATCTCATTTATGAAGCAAGATGCATGTTTTTTCGACAAAGTAAAATGGTCTTGAATGATTCTCCTTCGATCTCAAAACGAGGAATTAAAAATGTCTCTCTACAAATATAAAATACAGTATTATTTTGAAACTTCATATCATAACGACAGAGTGTTAGTTCTTGAGAGTTAATTATAATTTCTTAATTTATTCGATATAAAAATTGCCGTTACTATAATATCAAAGAATTAGTTATCATGCTTTGTATCCTATATATACATTGAGAAAAGACTTCTAGTGAAAATAAGAAATAAGAGCAACATAGACAGAAAAACAATGTTGTTCGAGAGAGACAAAGAGAGACATGTATATGTCAAAGTATTTTTTCTTTTTTTTCTTTCTTCAAGTACATGATCCGGCAGATTCGCTATTAAAATCTCCATAGTCCATCTTGCTTATATTGTATCCTTAAACTTTTCCTTCTTTTTAACATTGCTCGAAAATTTATTTTAAAGTTCTTATATTTCTTGGTGTTTCATTATACATAGAATTCTTGAAAACGGCTATGCAATAAGCCGAAACGTCGACAATAAATAAATTATTAAAGTAAAGTTAAATTTAATTTTCTTTTCTTAAATAATGATATATGATATTTTGCGCCACTGTCATTTATAAATTCCTATTGAAGTTATTGTCCTTGAAAGTTTCTAATGTTTATGATTATTTATGGCGATACTATGGGACTTCAAAAATGAAACTTTTCGGTGAATGTGTGAAAGCGCATCTTCGGTTGTACAATTTACAACGTGATGTATTATTCATTAGAATATGCAAGAGAGAAGAACTTTATCCCACCGTAACTAAAATTCGTTTAACGAATCCGCTCTTAAATCGAGTGAAACTAATCGAATAGTATTCACAAAACATACTCAAGCAGAGTTTAAATTCAAAAACGGTTATATATTCAAATATATAAACATCGAACTCGCCTTAATAATTTTTTAGAAGAAGAATATTCACCTATAATATATACAAGACTTCTAACAATAATTACACAAATATTATTAGAACAGAAAAACTACATTGATAATAATTATAACATAACTTGAATCGCTAAGACATAATAAAAATAAACTAAAACCAATCCATAAAACAACTATTGATTGTGTAGTAACTTTATCGCATAGAACTTTAACTATAGATGAGCATAATGCATTTAACAATGGACTACATTATGTTTACCCATCAACAGTTTTTGATCATTCAACATTTATGTGTAACATTGAACGTTATTTTACTCGTCATTTAAAAATTATACCAAACTATAAACATTATGAACAAAGTAGATTAAATGAAAAGATTACCCATTGACTTACTCCTGAACAATTAGACACAGCATGCCAAAATAAGATCCATAGCAAATATAGCACGAAACAAAGCTAAAATTGAATTTCAAACATTGAGACAACAACATAGAAACACAGTTCATATTTTACGTTCAATTGCAAAAGATAATTCAATTGTAATAACAAAACTAGATAAAGGTCGTGGAGTTGTAATTGTGAATAAAGCTGAATATATTAAAAATAAATTTCGTCATTTTCTATAATTTATTTACTTGAATGTCTATTATACTGAAGGTTTCTATTTACGTCTTTTTTAACTGAATATATGTTATCAAAAAGAAAGAAAAAGAAGGAATCAATTGTTTTTATATATGATACATATATATCTCGAAAATTAAATAAGAACAAAAATAATAATGTGAAACTGATACTTTAAATAAAACTAATCGAAAGTATCGAATTGTTTGATAACTATGGTTTAGAATAGAAATACTTAACTTGATTTATAAGAACGCTTGACTTGTCCATCTCTAGTCTAAAATGATCGAAATTAATGCTTATATCTCATGATTATCATTGATTGCTGTTTGTCTTTTTCATTTATTATTAAAATCATATTCAGATTTGAATCAAGTCTCTTATTTTAATTTTGCCAAAAAAAGAATTAATTTCCTGACAATATAAATACTTTAAATATTGCTTTCATTATAAAAAATTGTTGAAAGTTAAAGAGAGTAAAATGAGTGGAGAATATCATGAATATCTTCAAAATGAAAATTAGATTTGTTTTTTTTTGTTAATGTAATCTCACAGTTTATATTCATTAAATATTTTTCTTCGAAAAGAAAATGATATGAATGTCTTTAGATTAGTGTTTGAATGATTATTAAATTATAGAAGTATTATGAAATGTAAAGATTGGCGATTCTCAAAATATTTCGTCAAATTAATTTAAATGATAACTACAAGGATTTTGGGACATCCAGTGAATCAAATTATGCAGCAACAATTATTACCAATATTTTTTCTTTTACTCTATACTCCATATATGTCGAAATGAGAATATTATTGAGTCTAATATTTTTTCTCTATTTCTCTGTTTCAGTAAGACTGATGTAATTAACAAGGAAATAACTTTATATAATATGAAAAAAATTTGTTCATAAAATAGTTCAATTAATAAAATAACGTAAATGGATTATAACCATAGACATTTCTTTTGATTTAGTAAAAATAAATCACCCTACACTTCATTTGTATTATTTTACTTGTATAAACTTCATACTCTCTCAAATCAAATATATTCTTCTTAAAGATAGTTTTATTCCTCAAAATCAGGGAAAAATATCCAATTTTACGAATAAAAGATGAAGTTCACCCTAGAATTTGATTTCTAACTAACATGGTGCCCATAATCTGTTTGTCACTAGACATAATAAACGATGACATCTTTGCTGAACATCTTTGTTCTGCTTAATCTCAAGAGTTAATCTTTTTTATTTATTATTTTTAAAGTCTTTTAACTGATACAAAAAAAAGAAAGGCTTTCCTCTAAAATTTTTCTTTTGTAAATCAGTTTCTGATATAATACATGATTAATTTCTACGAAGAAAAACAAATCATGTTTCAATAACTGATATCTGTGGAACAATCCTGTTTCTCCATTTTCGAATGCAATATACGATGATTTTAACTAATATTGGTACGAAAATTTTTGAAACCGTTGTCAATCCACCAATTAAACCAATTAATATGGTGATAACATAAAGTATATTATTTCTTGTTTTAATAGTATAAGTACATTCTATAGGTTGACATTCGTCATAATATCGATCATACATTTGTGTTGAATTCCATTCTTCAATCATTAAATTATTAAGAAGATATTCAATTGTTGAATCTTCAAAATATTGACTTGGTAACGATGAATCAAGAGCAGTCACATTTTTTAGAACAGGTGGTGTCAAATAAACTTGTAATTGATCTATACAGGTTTGATTATAAAAGCATTCGAGAGTAGATCGAAGCAATGCTTCAGTCGTATAACATCCCACATAGAAACCTGTTACATTGAAAACTCTTATATTATTATAACCATTAAAAAGAGAAGAATTATCGATACATATGTTTGATAAAGAACAAATGCAGTTGCCGTAAACTCGACTAGTTGTGCGTAAAATAGAATCGTTTACTTTGTGTAGTTGGTAATTTGTTTGCCTTCCAGAAAGTAAAACATTCCCTTGAATGGTCTTTCTGATCATATTGAGTGATAATAAAAAATTATTTGTTGTTGATAATTTAAACTCATCAATGAATGATTGAGTTTGTAGTTGAAATAATTCTGATGGTGTAACAGAGACAGTAATATATTGTTGTGAATTAAATTGAATCAAACTGTTAGACATCATACTGTCAATTAGCTCACAAAATGCACGTAAAGCTTCAAACTGATACGGACCTGTTATTCGAAAGTCGCCGCTAACAAAATAAGTTGTATGATATACATTAGAAATATATGATATCCAATCGTTGGTGATAAAAAAACTGGTGCATACTTGATGAAGTGTATATTCAATAGAAAGAAATCTTTCATAGTTAATTGAAATATGTTTACACGGGCATGTAAGAGTTTGTGAATACTTAGAATATAATTGTTCATATTTTGCGAGAGTAGGTGTTGGAACATTGATAGTCATTGTAACGTTGGATAAGAATGTATATAAGAGAAGAATTGTTATTGACAGGATGAGCAATAAAATATATAATCTTGTTGATATTCGTTGAGTTCGAAGTTTATGCTCGTCCGTTGAAGGTGGCACAGATGGAAATAAATTAAAATTAAACAAAACATTTGTGCATTTTCGCCACAATATCATAGCCCGTTCCTTTTTGTTCATCACTTAAAAAAATAAATAAAATTGGTTGATATTTTTACCTCGATAAAATAATATTCTTCTGATTAATCATAATTATCTGAGAGTGCGAGTGTGGATGAGAATATCTATTCTATTCTTACATTCTCACCCACACCCTGCTCTCTAGATGCTTTGTTCAACTATGACTTACCAATGAGTGGTTGTGTTAATTCTTTCTTCTTTCTCACAAACTTGACTACTTGTGGTACAATGCAACTTAGAATTGTTATAAGACCACCAATAATACCAAACATTGTGGTGGTAATGTAAATGACGTTATTTCTTGTTTTAATAGTATAAGTACATTCTATAGGTTGACATTCATCATAATATCGATCGTAAAATTGTGTTGAACTCCATTCTTCGACCATTAGATTATTAAGAAGATTTTCAATTGTTGAATCTTCAGAATATTGGCTTGGTAAAGATAAGTTAAGAGCTGTTACATTCATTGGCGAAACAGATGATAAATAAAATTGTAATTGATCTATACAATTTTGGTCATAGAAGCATTCGAGAGTAGATTGAAGTAATGCTTCAATTACATAGCATCCCGTATAGAAACCTGGTATATAAAAATATCCCATGTTAACTAGACTACTCAAAATGGAAGATTGTGCGATGCATCTACTTGATAGAACACAACTACAGGTAGAGTAACCTACTGGACTGCTGAGAACAATAGCTTCATTAGATATGGATGTACCTACGGTTATTACGAAATTTGTCAATAAGCCAGAGACTAAACTATCTCCGTGAGTTGCGTTTCGGATGGTATTGAGAGATAACACAAAAGTATTTGTTGTTGATGATATAAATTGATTAATGAATGATTGAGCTTGTGACTGAAATAGTTCTGGTGATGCAACAGATGCAGTAATATATTGACTTGAATTAAATTGAATCAAACTATTATCAATTGTATTTTCAACTAATTCACAAAATGCACGTAAAGCTTGAAATGCATTTGAACCTGTCCGTCGAAAGTTAATGTTAGCGGATGTAGTTTTATTAGATATCACAAGATATGAAATCCATTCGTCGGTAATAAAAATACTGGTGCACACTTGATGAAGTGAATATTCAATATGAAGAAATTTTTCATAGTTGATTGATATATGTTTACACGGGCATGTAAGAGTTTGTGAATACTTAGAATATAATTGTTCATATTTTGTGAGAGTAGGTGTTGGAACATTGATAGTCATTGTAACATTGGTTAAGAATGTATATAAGAGAAGAATTGTTGTTGATAGGATGAGCAATAAAACGTTTAGTCTTGTTGATATTTTTTGATTTTTAAGTTTATGTTCATCAGCTGAAGGTGGCACAGTTGGAACTAAATTAAATATTAAAGAATAATTTTTCAATATTAGAAATAATTTTAACTTTGTCTTACCAACGTTTGCTAGTGATAATTGATTTCTCTTTTTTCTTATGAACTTGACAACTCGTGGCACAACAAGTTTTAAAACTGTTATAAGACCACCAATAATACCAAACACTGTAGTAACAATGTAAATTACGTTATTTCTTGTCTTAACAGTATAAGTGCATTCTATAGGTTGACATTCATCATAATATTGATCGTACAATTGTGTTAAATTCCATTCTTCAATCATTAAACTATTAAGAAGATTTTTAATTGTTGAATCTTCAGAATATTGACTTGGTAAAGATGAATCAAGAGCTGTTACATTCATTGGCGAAGCAGTTGTTAAGTAAACTTGCAAATGATCTATACAGGTTTTGTCATAAAAGCACTGAAGAGTAGATTGAAGTAATGCTTCAATTACATAGCATCCTATGTAAAAACCTGGTACATCGAATAATGTCACGTTGCCAGAATTATTCTTATAAAAGGAAAGTTGATTCACACATGTATTTGACAGATGACAATTACAATTAGAATAACTTATCGAAGTTGATGATACACTGCCATTTATTAACGTTAAGTAGTAATTTGTTAATTGTCCAGAGAGAAAAGCGTTTCCTTGAGTTGTCTTTCTGATCATATTGAGTGATAATAAAAAATTATTTGTTGTTGATAATTTAAACTGATCAATAAATGATTGAGCTTGTGACTGAAATAATTCTGATGGTGCGACAGATGCAGTAATATATTGTTGTGAATTAAATTGAATCAGACTATTATTAATTGTGCTTTTAATTAATTCACAAAATGCACCTAAAGCTTGAAGTGCATATGAAACTACTATTCGAGGATCGTTGTTAGTATATAAATAGTGAAGAATCACATCATTATGTGAAATCCATTCATTCTTAATAAAAATACTAGAGCATGCTTGATGAAGTGTATATTCAATAGAAAGAAATCTTTCATAGTTGATTGATATATGTTTACATGGACATGTAAGAGTTTGTGAATATTTTGAATATAATTGTTCATACTTTGTGAGAGTAGGCGTTGGAACATTGATAGTTTTTGTAATGTCGGCTAATGATGTATATAAGAGAAGAATTGTTAATGATAAGGTGAACAAAAAAATGTATAATCTTGTTGATATTTTTTGATTTTTAAGTTCATGTTCATCAGTTGAAAGTGGCACAGATGGAAATAAATTAAGATTTTGACAGAAATGTTTCACTTTTCGGCAGCATTCAAAAGCTCGTCTACAAGTATGTATTCCTACAAGGAAATAGAAAAATGCACGAAAGTGATTTATATAAAACAACGAGCAGTACTGAATTCATTTTTGAATGAAAGGTTGATAATATCATAAGCAGAATTTTACATTTCAATTTTAAATAGAAAGCATCAGAGTACTTTCTTGACACCAAAATCTTTTGATACTTTAGAAGAAAATCTAATGATGTTGCATTAAAGTATGAAAAATGAAAGAAAACAAAATACTTACTATTCATTTTATGATAAAATAATATGAAATTTGTTTTTGATAATTATACTTGAATTGTTGATATTTAATTTGTAACAACAATCTGAATAAAAATAAATTGTTTGAAAACCATAAGAGAACAAAAATCAATCAGTCTAAGATTCGTATCTATATTTGTTTAAAATGTGAAAGACGAAATACCTACTGTCAGGTCTGTAGTGAGTGCATATTTCTACTCCTGAACACTCCTTTTAGTTCGTGTTTAACAAAAAACTAAAGAATCGATGTATGACATGTAGATATAGAGGAGTATTTAACTATAAAATATTATGAACAGTCTAAACGACGGGAAGTAGAGAAAAATAAGATTATTCAGTGCTTTAGTTATATATTTAATATAATATAAAACGCCATTTCGATATTAAAAATGTTATTGGAGGAAAATGTAAAGAGCGATATATCATGTGTCTACCGAAGCAAAAAGAAAGTTTTAAATTATTCTACGTTAATTGCAATAGAAGTATTGCTGAATATTTCAAAGTTTTAATTGAAAAAAAAAATAATATAAAACTCATTTTCTTACTTGGAAATGAGAAGCGAATAAAATAATAAATGATATGTTAACTTTGAAACTTCATATAGGATAAATGAGGATACATATTTACATATATATGTTACAATTCAACTGAGATTAAAATGCCCAAAATTTTACAAAAAAAGAATCTATTACAACCATTTGAAGATGTGAAAACAACTTATAATATTCGTATCCTACAGTGACGATCATTACTGTTACCTTTGCTTAATCGTCAGTCATGTTAGTTTTTCATTTACATGTATCTCTAGTAAACAGTATCATTGTGTCTTGTTCTTCGACGATACAAAAGTCACCATACAGTTAAATAAGAGATGAAAAAATATAAATATTAAGTTTCTGTTAAATAAATTGAAAAACTTAATATACCAGTACTACCTGAATATTTATTTTTTTTTCTTTGTTTGTTTTACACCGTTAAATTAGAATGAAAATCTATTAAACATCTTCTTAGTCGATACAAATTTAGTGATGAAATGTTTACGATTAGTAGTAACTATTTAGTATAGGGGAAAACTAAAAAGGTAAATAATCAGTTTACACAAAGATTTATTCTGTCTTAATACTTGTTTACTACTTAAACTACTCTTTGCTCTATTTTCTACAAGGTAAAATAATATGCTTTTTAAACAAATACAAATGACGTAGATGTATAATTTAATCAATCTAAAAAACTCTTTAAAATGTAATTAACGCTAGCTATATCATGAACATCTTAAAAGTATTCATCTATGAAAATTGAAATTATTATTTTTGTCTATATTTACATTTATTTTATCGTATACTTGTCATTTCCGTGTTTTTCTTTTCATGATATACATTACCATCTTGAGAATAAATAAATATCATAATATGTTATTTCATCATTGATATAAAATAGAATTTTTTTGATTCTAATCTATTTTACAACTATTATTAGTATTTAACTGAGAGTGTGAGCGTAGATGTACGTATTATCTTCATAGATTATTTCCACATCCACTCCCACACACACCATTCTGTTTCTCAAAGATTTAAAGGATATGTGAGAATTTTTAAGTGTTGTTCATAAAAAAATGGATCATTTTCGTAATCAAACATCAAGTCAAACACATGGTAATCCAACCAATATAACACAAAGTAATATACCGTGATATATAACAAAATATAGAATCTTCACAAGGACTACCACAAAATGTATCATTTGTACAATAGTCATATTTTCTCACGAAAAATATACTAGATGAACTTGGCGATAATGAATAACGTGATTATATGTACCAAGCTCACATCTCATAAATATATTTATGACAGTGCGATCTTTAAAGCTATTATTTTTCATCCTGAATTTAAAAAAACAAAAAAAAAGCATTTCAATGGATTGAATTAGATTTTGAAACCGTATAAAAATCTGTTCTTTTTCTATTAGTGAATGGTTTCATCAAACAATAAGAAAAATGAAAACATAAAAAGTAGATGCCTCCACGCAGGATCGAACTACGGACCTCCAGTTTACAAGACTGGCGCTCTACCACTGAGCTATAGAGGCGTATCGACCTTGATTGATTTTATTTACACAAATATAATCAATTACATCTAATACATTGAGTTTTATATGTATCGAAATTCAATTCTTTGAAGATTTTTCTGAAAATATCAAAAAAAAAGTAAAATAAAAATAAATACATGAACAATGATTCGATTGATACAAAACTATTTTTGTTTGTTTTTTCTAAATTAGATATCTTTGGTCACATTATATGTATACTTGTCCAGCATGAATTATGGCTCTTGTCGAAAAAACTCTTTTCTTTGAGCAAATAATCAACAGGATACTATACTGTTTGATACTTTAGAAAAATTGAGATAAATATGATTATGAATACTACATGGATTCTATGTCGACACTCTTATGAGAGAAAAATAACAGTTACTCATCAAGTTAGGTTTTTTCCATTCTATCACTTAAGTCATATTACCTATAGAAGAAAAAAGAATAACATCGCGAAGGTATGTGTTTATACATATTACCTTTTTTTCTACCATAAACAAAAATACGATTTATAATGACGTTGGAATTATTACCAAATGAAGTTATTATTCATTGTTTTGAATATCTTAATGCAATAGATTTATTCAATGGTTTTGATAAATTAAACTATCGTTTACAAAATTTGATTGAAAATATTCCATTATGTTTTAATTTTCAACGTGTAAAAAGAATAACATTTGATAAATTCTGTAATAAAATAGTATTGAATCCAAATCTTAAACAACAAATTTATTCATTACAGTTATCAAATGAAATTGATACATGTGGTCAAATAAAATCATTTTTATCATTATTTTCACTCAATAAATTTTGCCAACTTCGTTCATTAACTTTAATTAATGTAAACGAAAATGAAATAGAAATGTTAAAATTAATTTTACCATCTTTATCAAATTTATCCTATTTTTGTGATTATTCAATGAAAATAGACAATACAACATTATCAGCATTTTCACTACCAAATCTACGAAAATTAGTAGTAGGAGATGTATTTGATTGTTCTTTATTTACTGAAAAAGCTACATTTCTCACACATTTAACAGTTGCACATTGTCCGCCAATGGTTTTTGAGAAATTATTTAAATATGCACCTATGTTAAAATATTTGAATGTCAAAAGATTGGAAGAACAGAACTGGTTTTTCGGACGTATATTGGATCTAGCTAGTGTACGGACTATTTATTTAACTCAACTTAATTTATGTATATATGAGCTGGAATTGGAACATATTGAAATTCTTTTAAGAGAGAAACCAAACTTAAAAATATTAATATTATCGATTATCTCTCAAGATAAAGATATAGTCGATTCTAATCGTTGGCAAAAGTTTATTTCATTACATTTACCTCATTTACATATTTTTAAATTCTACTTTTCTATTAAATTAACATGTGTGTATAGTTGGGTATGTAATGGTCCTTTTTACGAATTTGAAGGACAATTTCAACGTGATTTTTGGAATAAACAACATCATTGGCATACTGTTTATCAATTAGAAGAATCTAGTGCAAGTATTTTTACTATACCTTACAATAAGAATGATTATATTCTAACATCTCATACACAATTAAATTGTCAGAATATATTGATAGATACTTCAAACCTATTTGATAATGTTACAAATTTAACATTAAGTCTAAATGGAATATCAAAACATTGTCATACTCCTATGATATTTTCAAATATAAAAACATTAGTTTTAAAAGAAGAACATGATCCAAAGTGGAGTGACTATATTGTACCTGTCATAGAATCGATCAGATCCTCTAAATTAATTATGAATTTATTTAATCTTCAACATTTAGATATTAAACGAACTTGTACAATAGAATTATCATTAATTTTATTACAAATTTTAAAAGAAACACCACATTTATCATCATTATCAATCGATAGAATTGATTTAATATCATTACTTACTAATGATGAATTATGTAATTATTTTAGTAAGTTAATAACAAAATTAAAGATTCGTGATTATACACATTGGGGTTCAAATGCTTTTAATTCGTTAGAACAAGTGTGGAATATATTTTCGAATATTAAACAATTAAAATGTTACATTGATAGTCTCAATGATATATTATTTTTATTTAATCATTTACCAAAATTATTAAATTTAACAGTCGTTTGTGACCCAGATTCTGATGATGATCTTCAGTTGTGGTTACAAAATAATATATCACAACTTAATGCAAATTTTTTTGTTGATACTTATGACGGTAGTTTGAATTTTTGCAGTAATAAATCTATATGAGCTAATTGTTATTTACTTTATTAAAATATAATTTGTCCTAATATGATCATAATAATATATATATACATTTTTCGTAAATAGAAACACATGGAAAGTATTCGAAAGATCACCTTAACTATTATGTTTTAATTGAATCTATTTTATATATACGAAAAAATCATTCGATGCCAACCGTGATATTCTTGATAAAATTCACTAGATCATTGTATGATTTTATATCTAGTATTTGTGTTCATAAATAACAAGGAAAATAAAGATGAGATACAGATTCGATGAAAAACAATATCTAAAATGCGAAACAAGAAAATATTGAATTGTTTCTTTTCGTTTTGATTATTTCATCATTTTATTAATAAACCTTGACACATCTACGACAAATAGGTCAACTAACTAGATAAAATACGCTCTAGAAAAAAAAGTAACCTTCTTACATATCTCGCGCGTGAAAATAGAAAGACACATGTATATATATGAGAATGTTTCAACTTATTTTTCTTATAATCAGAATTTAATGATTATGACATTTGTTACATAATCGATCAAGATAAAAGATACAAGAAAATAAGAATAACTTTATTATGAATGAAAAGTCTATTTATATAAGTAACACATTATAATAATATTAGCTATATAAGATTATATGGAAAGTGTCTATGGTAACGGTTTTCCTGCTCGTATGGCCTTTGCAATTTCGGATTCAGTTTCATTTTGAAGATATCGCTGATAAAATTCCGTATAACGTTGACGATCTGATGATGTTTTGATTACACTTGGTCGTTCTTTGATGAGTTTTTTGTATTCTGGCCAACATCCACCGACGAGTTCATCTTTGAATCCTCGATGCTCTTCTAAAATGTACATACGGAAGATCCATGGAGCCACAGTAATATCCACTAATGAAAATTGTTCACCCAAAAACCAAGGACCTTTAACTTGATCGAGATATGTTTTAAGAGTCTCAACAAGTTCATTTAAACCTTCCTTTTGTTTGTCTTCTTCTTGAGCTTGCATAGTTCGGAAGAATGCCGATGTAAATTTTTTTGCTAGATGGTCAATCCATAGTCGGCATCGTGCACGTTCGAAACTGTCTTTTGGCAAAAGTGGCTTTGAACCTGTAAATTCATCTTCCAAAAATTCATTAAGAACTAATGACTCGTGCAAAGCTTTTCCATGGTAAGCGATAGCAGGAGTTAAGCCGAGAGGATTAATGTCCAAAAACTCCTTTTCTTTTTTATATGGATTTACTTCTCGATATTCATATAAGATTTCTTTTTCTTCTAAAGCCAACCATGTTCGATGTACAAACGGACAAAACCACGCAGCATAAAATACAAGATCACATTTGTTAGAATGAGCTTTAACTGTTTGTTCTGCTTCGCCAGATGCATGATGATAAATATTTTTCTCTACGAATGAAGACATTGTGGATCAAATGATTACGATATTGATTTGATTAGATGTGTAAATAAGTGACTATCTAAAATGAAGAGTTAATTCTAGATAAATTTTTACAAATCTAATCTGAAATCAAGGAATATCAGATACACATTCAACTTAGATTTCTGATACATTATCTCTTCATTTCAGAAGTATCTATATGGGATTTTAGTAAGACATTCCTTTTTCGAAAAACTTCCTTTGTTTGGATAACGAGAAAATCTCTTATCTTATACAAAATACTATTTATCAACAATTCTACGAAAGTGCTATAATAAAAAGTATAGTTACTTTCTAATACACAATAAGTTAAATAGAGTGGTAAGATGAAGTAAATAATGGAGAAAATCGGATGATTTTATTTAGAAAAAACACGAGTATATATATGTGAAATGAATAAAGAGAAGAATTCGCCGCTAAGTTTCTTCTCTTTACGAACTTTATGAAGAAAGTCTAACATTGGATCGAGGTCTGGAAAGGTCACACAGAAACATAAGTAATTCATGTACGAAAGTAAAGCAAGATATGACCGAGAAATAAAGAAAGATATACGAGAGAGAAAGATATATATAAGACTGAACAGAAAGAAATATATGAAAGTGAAAGATATAACTATGTATCACAATATAGAATCTGTAAAACATCTGTTGCAGTAATGCTATAGATCACCTAAGATATTCGGTAACTCATAAAAATATCTCAGTTTGAACGTACTTAAATCACATAGTATAATTTATTATCTGATATCCGACTATTTATTCAAAAGTTATTGTCTTTAAAATCGTATTCTAATGATAAGGTTTGATTCCAAAGATAAAACCATAAGCTTAGTCTATATTATCTATGCGGTGAAATTCTAAACTACTGCTTAACAGTTTTCAAACGTTTTTACTGAAATTTAGGAATATTCACTTTTTTAGCCGTATTCGTCAACTCAATGCATTAAAAGAAAATAAAACAAAAGTTTAAATAGAAAGAGAAAATTATTTAGCAAGAATAAATTGAAGTTTCTTTTGAAAGTATTGATATATAAAGTAAAAGTATTTTAAACTGAAATAACTTACCTTTTTTGCTGAACTATAAAATTTCGTTTTAATTCGATAGGCGTTTAGTTTTTGTTGTTTCTTTTTATCCCGAAATATCGGCACGCTGATTTTATATGAGAATAGAAGAAAGAAGAAAGAAATTGATTTCGTTTTCTTTATTCTTTTTATTCTTGTCATCATGTGTGTAAGCATGACTCGTCTTTATAGTTCGATCGATATTGTTTCTTGTTATTCATTAGCTTATTTTTATTGGCTAGAGCATAACTACGAATGCAAATAGACACAGCATTCGTTCCATTCTACATACATAAAAAGTATGCATTGTGGATTGAAAGCTAGTGCATAAAAGTGTATACAATTTTTATTCTTTACAAGTTACTAGAGAAACTGAAAAGTAATCAGTTAGAGCTACAATTTGATTGTTTTCTAAATACATATATTTAAAATCATGTACTTGATAAAAGACTAATGAACAAAGAGCATAACTACTTTTTTGGATAAATTTAAAAAAGATAGCCATGCAAAAGACAAAGTTAAAACGTCTTATCACAAATAGTTACTTATTTTAGATATTAATAAGTAAAATACTTGCATAAAATGAAACAAGCTTGTTATTATTATTTTTTTACTTTTATAACAGATATTTTTAGACTAGAAAATGCTTGCCAGAGGAAATATTATTTACATTGACAGCTACTTGTTTAATATACGATTATGAACGAAAGAAGCTTCCAGATGAGAACAAAATAGATTTATGATATGTAACATTTAATAGATAAAAAATAATGAAGAAGATTGGAGAAATAATCCAAAAAATTCTGTATAGAAATTTCAATTAATTGTGAATATTGAAAATACACTTATTTTTCATTGATCATCGTGTCAAATATCAATCAATCTTTGCAAAAAACTTACAATTAAAGTTTTATGTACATACTTTTATTGTTTTAAAATAATAAATCAAAAAAAGATATTGTTCGATTTTCATTTGAAAGATGAATTGCATTTACAAAATATCTATTCAGATATATAATAGTACTATGTTAATCTCAAAATTTAATCCATTCACACTGATATTTACTGTAGCGGCAAATCTTCATCATTATTTAAACTGACTACTACAAAAAAGTTCGAGTAGTAAAACAATCGTCTCTAGCTGTATTTGTTTCGTTCCTTATATAGTATTAGGATTGATCGTAAATACAATAACAAAAAAGAGTGAAAGTTAGAGTCAAACAGAAAAAATGCAAAGATAAATTAATATTACGTATACAAGAAGTATAAAGGACATCGTGGATACCCTACGCAAGGATGAGTTATTATATTGAGCTTCTTCAACATAGATTGAAAAACTTTCAGAATAGATTCCACTCTCACTCAGCTTATCTCACTTTACTTACTAGTGCTGTCACTACTCATTCTGTGATATCTACATGTGAAATTATTTCTCCTTATCAAAAATCGCACCATTTTCATACGAAGTATACACTGATACACTCGTTAATCAGAGAAAATAAAAGAATATGAAAGAAAAAGATTATAAGGACAAACTAAGATGGATCAAAATATTATTTGATACATGAAATAAGGACAAAAAGATGAGGGCAATAAATAAAATGAGAAAAAATAATTATAAAAAGAAGATAAATATCATTAAAATATTGATATAAAATAAATCATATATTCTCAAATTACATCGATACTTACAGAATGAAAACATATAATATTTGATATATAGCTAATATTTATAGAAAAATTCAAAAAAAAATACTGCGATGTTACCAGAATTTTTTCCATGAGATGCAGTCGATATCAAAAAAGTTCTCGAATGAAATCATTATTCAATACTCAGATTATTTTGTGGTTTCAATCAACATATAAATAAGATTGTGTCGATCAACTTTACTATATGTTTTCAAAAATAAGATAAAATGTCACTTTGATCTACACAATCTATCACAAACAAAATTATATACCTAATAATCGTTTCATATTTCAAAACAATCACGCTCTTAAGAAGTAACCATAAACACAAATATATCATACGAGGTATATGTTACAAGTTGTGATAAATGTCAAGATACCTTTTGGTATAATATAGGAATTAGCATCTTTAAGTCTTTGTTTTTCTAATATTTAATTACGTTTTTGATAAACATTCGAAAGAAGTATAAAAGGAGCTAGTAATCAGCTTCATACCATGAAACAATCATGCCACACAGTATGTTTTGTCTTGTACTTGTCTTCTTCTTCTTATCGACATCCCTCGCTCAAGAAAATATCTTCTCACCGAATCGCTTCAAAAATATCATCATATTTGGCGATTCATATACGGATACAGGCAACGTTTATAGATTAACTCGACGTGCATGGCCTTTATCACCTCCATATCACCGTGGACGATATTGTAATGGACCTAATTGGGTGGATCAATTGAGAGGTTCTCGAGTGAAGAATTATGCCTATGGAAGTGCAACAACTGACAGTAATTTTGTTCAAGGTTATACAATAGGCAATGTTCCTGTCCCAGGCATTCGACAACAAGTTCAAAATTATATGAAAGGCTGGAACTCGAGATATATCAGTCGTCCAGATACTCTTCATATTGTTTGGATTGGTGGCAATGATTTTATTTTCAATCATTCAGCACTACCAAATTTAGTTGTACCTAGTCTGATGAATAGCATTAATGATTTAGTTGCGAAAGATGCTAAACATATTCTCGTAGTCGACCAAGTACCAGCTCAATATATTCCCGCAGGTCTAGCACTTGCACCACCAGCAGAATTAGCTTATCTTACAGCAATGTACAATACTTTATTGAACGCAAGTCTTCATAGCATTCAACAAAAATATCCACAAACATCGATTCATATTTTCAGCATCAATGCACTTGTGACAAAAGTTGTTACCACCCATTCTGATTACTTTACAAATACAACTACCAATTGTTGGAATGTTCAAAATTACACTATAGTCAAGAATTGTGAAAATCCAAACAATTTTGTCTTTCTTGACAATATACACTTTAGTAATCATGTGCATACATTGATTGCTGATCCTGTTCAAAAATTTCTTTTGCCTTCATATGCAGTTAATAGTGCTAGTTGTTATATTCGTCAAGCTTAATATATGATTGTTTTTCTTTCTAATAAACTTATACGATCCACCTATCAGAACTGTTATTATTGAAAAAAATACACGTGACATAACAATAATGAAAACATGATATCAAAAGAGATTTTTGTTAGATATGATTAAATAAAAGATGAAAAAGTTGTATAGATTGGATCTGGATCAGAAGAAATATTTGATGAGAACATTTTTAAATTTCTCTAAATCTTGTTCGCTTTATTAAAAAGAGAGAGAAAACAATAAAAAGATCTTTTCTAAAAGAGTTTAGTCGTTGAAATGGTACAAAAGAATACAATGCGATTTTCATCTGTTTTGAAGACCTGTATGCGCCCTGGTACATAAAAATACTTGAAAATAACACAGGAGTACTGTATTTACCTTTACTATCAAATAGATATTCCTATATTTTTTGATTTCATTAATAATTGTTGCTAAACGATTTCCTACATTAGTTTTCTGTTGTTCATAATTAATAAACTTTATTGAAGCAATTTTACCAATTTTATGTAGTTGCATTAACCAGCTAAATAGTAATATTTCTTTTTTTTTAATTTCGAAACGAATATATTGTGATGATTATAGTCTCTGTTTATCATATAATAGATTTAGAATGAGATAACTGTATTATTTGTTGAACTTCTTAGATGTTATCTACTATTCAATAATATTCTTTTTGTTAGAATTGAATATTCATTAACTCTTAATTTTATCTAATAAATGAGAATCTATTTCATTTTATGTTTGAGTTGTTGATATTGTTTGAACATATCACCTTTTCTCTCAATCATTAATAACGGGGCATATATAACCTTATACATACAGGTGTCATTAACGTTCTTTTTATGAAACAAGATTATTTTAGTAAAAAGATATCGATAAAATAAGAACATATAATTTTATATTGATACAAATGTTTAACAATAGTTAAGACAAATATCATATGATTGATGTTTGATTTTCATTTCATTCTTTTTTTTTTAAATTTTGTCAGAAAGAGTAAGTTGATAAATATGATAGATTGTCATACATTTCTCATTCAATATTGATTTAGCAAGAAACAAAAATTGAACACTTATATATACATTTTATGATAAACTATACGGAAATGAATTAAAAGTTTCTCTTGTTAATTTTTGTTTTAAGGCGATATACATATATATAAATAAAAGAAAGAATATCTTCGAAATAGATCATCATTTTATTTTCATAGTTATTGAGTATGTTTGTTGATGTGGGCGTTGAACTTCATTAATATGTCATTATAATGATGCACTTAAAGCTTTTTGTGTTTCATTCGATTATGAACAATCACAAGAGAAATTTAATGATTAGACTATTGAAAGATGAAACAATATTTATCCTAAAGGCACATTTCATTAAAAAACATACATCAATATTACTTTGTATTCTATCAATAATTATTATTTATTTATTTTAATTGACTATCAAACTATAAGTAATCAAAAAGTATGTTTGTCTCATTGTATGATAGGATCATATTTTCTTCTTTCGAATTATATCGATATATAATTGATCCCTTTACAAAAATTAGTTGTTTGATCATCGAATAAAAACTTGTTTGCTAACTAAGCTGTTGTAATACGATCAACTATGTTCTTCAAAGAATATATACATATATATATAAATAATCGTAAAGAAAAAAAGAAGAATTTATTTTACAAAATCAAAAGATTAACAGAGAAAAGAAAGAAATTCAACTAAATCTATTATTCTCAGATGACAAATATAAAGAGAATGATGATCGATCATTTTTTTGTTGTCTAAATGAGTAAAAGTGATAATTATATTGATCGATGTAATATCAAGATGAAAACAAAAAACAGCTTAAGGGCATTATTTTTTAAAGATGAATGATTAACTTTATTAACCGGGTTTATATAAAAATAATAAAGAATTTATATCGGAATTTATGTCGTTTTATTATTAGTTGATGATTGATATAAAATTCGTTCTATTGAATAAGAAGATTTATTTAATATTTTAGGAGATATTGATGATGATGTCGAAGAATTTCCATCACTAATCAATGAATTTGAATTCGAAGTTTTAGTTTGTTTTCGTCGTTTTCGTTCTTCAGCTAATAAACGTTTTTTTTGTATTTCTTCATGAGATATTGGATGACCTGAACATGTTTGTAAATGTGCATTATGTGCTGGACGACCTGGACCTTTTTTTGTATTTTCCATTTTTCTCCACTGAAAAAAAGTCAAATCTTTTTCTGTCTCTCAAAAAGTAACACCCTCTTACTTTAGCTCGTCGATTTTGAAACCAAACTTGTACTCGTGATTCAATTAAATCTAATTTTATCGCTAAAGCTTCTCGCATATATACATCAGGATAATGACCTTTAAATAACAATAGAAAATGCAGATTCCTTTTTTTGCAACAAAACAAAATTCTTACCATCTTGAAAAGCTTTTTCTAATTCATTAATTTGTGAAGTTGTAAAATTTGTACGTGTACGTTTTTGTTTATTATCATGATCATCCATACTTTCTTCATCTTCACTTAAATGAGATTCGAACGTTTGATGAAGAGAATTTTGTTTTGAATTTATTAATGATTGAATAAAAAATGGTGAAAAAAAATGATTTTTTAACATATTTGAATAAAGTAGAGAAGGACTTATCGACATTTTTAATTATTTCATACTAAATCATTTATAAATTTTATAAAGAAGAAAAAATAGGAAGAAGAAAAAAAAAAGGAAATTTTTATTGATATAAACCAATAGTATTCTATTTGTTTTAGTCATTCATTGGTTGTTTTATTCAATGTTAGAGAAAATGAGGGAGAGAGAGAAAAGAGAACAACAATAATTAATGTAATATTATATATCTTTTTGAATAGATTAGTGATACTTAACGACTTATTATTTTTCAATACTAAAGACATAATCAAATTTTATGAGTAAAAAACGTTTTGAAAAGGGATTGAACATATAATAAAATATTAGTAGGAGGAAACCAATCTTTCGATTACTAGTGAATGATGTGAAATAAACTTAAATGGTATCTCATTTACAAAACGAATATTTACTTTTTATGATAAAAAAAAGATTTTTACTCAAAAATATCATTGTATGACTTCAAGTATTCAAAACATATGAATTTCCTAATATATCGTACATTTTTTTGAAATATCAATACTGTTATTTCCGTTGAATGATCTCTGGATGTCAATTATGAAATACATAAAGAAAATTTGATTCGATTTTCTTTTTCTTACAGTAACATTTCATATTTTTCTTATAAAAAGAATTAAGTCAATATAATTAAAAGAATTCATTCGTCTAGCATCAATTATGTGTACATACAATTTAAACGTTTGTCAACGACATTAATAATTATTATTTACATACACATTTCAAATTACAGTATTGACTCAATAGAAAGAGAGAATCAAGAATTGAATCATTGTAAATGCTTTTTTGTTAATAGGAGTGAATTTCAATATGAAATTTGAATACTCAATTATGTTTCATTTCATTTTTTTTCTTTTTCTTCTGTCTTTTCTAAATGACAGGAGCCGAAAGGCATAAAAACTAGTCGTGTACATCTTTTTTTTTTGACAGGCTGCCCAATTAAAGTCTATATAAAAAGAAAAATAACATTATTCAATGACAACTAGTAAAATAAGACATACACACACTCTCTCGCTCTTTCGATGTATGTATTATATAGATATAATTAATGAGCCTTTTATGAATTGATTCGCTTTATACAGAGATTATTAAATGATCATTACCATTATGTTCTTTACTTGTTGCACGTGCGATCATTTTTCTATTAATTGACTATTTGTTTTTAATGTGTACGAAGAAGTTACAAAATACCGGAAATAAACAAATGAGTAAATGGTATAGACAAAAAGTTCATTATTTATTCTCAATACACTTTTTTTTTGAAAAGGTACAATGCATACAACAGAAATCAAGTATATATATATTGACTTAGCTAGAGACATATCATGACAAAAGTCGTTGTTTCATCGAAACACGAAATTGTTCAATCTTATTTTATTTTCTAAACAATTATTTTACCAACAAGACAAGGTGATTTCGCATTTCTTACAAATATTTATGCTTAAATAAGTTTACGTAATTAATAATATTCATTAAAAACTTAGTCGATTGTTTTTATTATAAATATTTCATTACTGGACAAAATTTGAATAGCCACAGAGGAGATGTATAAGGTTAATCATAAAGAGACAATAGTTGGCTTGTTTATTTTTATTTTCCTTTATCAGTATATGAGTTTGTGAGTTTAAATAAATTCATAACTAAAGAGTCAGGGGTGTCGGGGGTGTAACACCCCCCCCCCCCACTCTTTCGGAATTTCTATTTTTTGCTTAACCAAATTGACAAATCTTCTTAGGTTTTTTACCAAACATAATGCTACATCCCTCCAGTCTGGGCTGCCTCGCGCCACCCCTGACTAAAGAACGTCAGCTCCATATCTTGACATAACTATTTTTGAGTAACCATATATGTGATAATCGATAGATGGCACTATCATATGGAATATGTTGTCTAATAATATTTTTAATTTACATAGTTTTTTCAAGTAAAAATAATTTATTGTGTCAGAGTAAAACTGCATATTTTGATTTAAATTATCTTGAAGAATGAAAGGTCATTAGAAGATTTTCCATTGGTTAAATCTGTCGAATGAAATTATATCTTTTCTTCTAATAAAAGAACTAATATTCATATATGTCAATGAGATGACAGGTTATCAAATAAAGAAATGACTGCATTAATTCAACAACACAATGACGTATGCTATAAATTATAACTATTCTCGTATCTTTTAACTAAGATTTTTCTTTTATCATATAAGATTATTCATTTAAGAATAAGGTAGTTTTATTATTTAATTCTTATCATTCAACATAGACATGACAGATATTTTCTTCGTTGTTACATATTTTTATATAATGACTAACTAGCTTTTTTAAATTATAGATAAAATTATTTATTACGAGAAATATTTTTCATTAAAAATTTAATTAGTATGATAAATAATAGTATTTACGTAACTAAGATGAGTAAAACAAAATATTAGCGGAGAAAACGAAGTCAATAAGACAAATTATTTTTTTTTTCGTATTTATTTGAATACTTCATTCACTCAATCGTTTGTTCAAAAACAAGCCTTATTTATAAGGTTAGATTGCTACTAAGTAATATCTATTCTCATTTTTCATGTAGAAAAAGCAAGCATTATTTATCGCATTTCGAAAAATTTACTTACATTTTTTACAAAGCCTATCGCAGAAATGAAAAAATCTGCCTCTAACGTTTAGTCTATTATGGTATTCGAGAATCTATAGTAACTAGAAATGTATCGATTATGCTAGTTCGACGGCGATAATTAGTTTGCTATATACATTGTAAGGACTATTTTCTCTAGACTCGAATTTTGTCAGTATAGATAAGTTTAATGAACTAGAGTGTTTGTAACAACAGATAGAATGACAAATATTCTATTGTAATCTATATTTCTTAATATGAAACAAACAATTTTTGTTCTTGACTGTACCACGTTTGTTTATATCCTTACTAGCCTTCTATCAGTTTCCTCTTTGTTACATCTGGAAGAATATTTTCTCAGCGAGTTAATTAAGCATATATTAAACAGCAGATGCTTAGATAAAAGAATCCTTTTATCTATTGAGCTTCGATCATAGATAATGATCGTACTAATCTTTCTTTCTTCATCCCATTAGATATGAGTAATTCACAGTTAGTCAGAGATATTTCGAGTAATAAAACATACCATGAATATTTTTGTTTTGAGAGAATAGCAAAAAAACGAAATATTGTATTTTATATTCAATGCTAAAGAATAAGGTATAATAGATGTACTATTTGCCCGTATAGAAGTTACTTCAAAAACGAAAACGTACTCAAAAATATAGGCACGTGCATTTTGTAAATGTCTCTTTTCATAAGATCAATCAACCGTATATAAGGCTTGTTTTATTTATATAATCGAGCAAGCGAGTTATTTGGCTTAATATTATATATTCATGAATAAGATAATTTTTTTTCATTTCTTTTTCGATTGATTAGTGTGAATTCTATAGAGACATCGAATCTCTTGAGTAAGTTAGTCGTATTTTATCCAATAGTATTTATAGTTATAATTTTTTAAAAATTATTTCTAGTTGATAAAAATACAGCTTGTTTTCTCATGGAAATCAGTGCGAAGGAACAAAGTTTAGTTCTGCTTGTAATAATAATGTCACTGAGTGTACATTTAAATTCGTTCTTTTAACCTTAATCTTATCTATTTAAAAACTTGAGTACAGATATAAACTGTAGTTTAATAAAGTCCGATGTATTTAAATTTTATGATAGCTGACAAAATACGCGATGCTTTTTTTCGTTGACGTTTATTTATGATTTGTTTATTCTATATAGTTGCCATTCAATGTTAACGATAATCTTTTAACAATGACATAATGAATCCATCAGCATATTAGAAATTTCCGAATTATTTTTTTCAACGCGTATATGTATATACAATTAGTAAACTAAAATCATATGTTTTTTCGAAAGTAGATCATAGACAAATATTAGAAGTATTTTACGATTTGATCATTAATCTATCTCTATATAAGTCGACTATCAATACGCCTTGATTTCCGTTAAATTACGTCGCTATATCTAATCAGAATGACATTTTCAGGTTTAATCATGTACAAGAAAAGATTAAATTTATATATTTTAGATCAGCAAGAATGTTATCATGGTTGCTTTTCGTAAAAAATTCATTACGTATGGCTATTCCAATCATAACTTTATTTGGATCAGCACCAATATTTTTTGTCACATGGTTTATCATGCGTTTTATAACATTAATCTGTTTTTCTCAACAAATCTATCGTCGTTGTGATGATTATTTATATTCATTTTATCAAAAACTTGTTCTTTTTTTCTTCGAAAATTGGACTCATACAAAAGTATATTTTATCATATTATTTTTCTTCTTAAAGTTTAAATAGTTTACCTTAGATTTATTTATATGGAGATCATGAAGAAATATTAAGGCAAAAAGAAAATGTTTTATATATATCAAATCATCAAAGTTCTGGTAAAAATTCGTTTTGTTTTTTGTTATTAAATAAAACGAAAGAAAATTTTTATTTTTAGTTGATTGGATTATTGCAAATATGCTAGCTATTCGCCAAGGTAGTCTTGGACATATTCGATATGTTCTTAAAAATGATTTAAAATGGATTCCATTATATGGATTTTATTTTGAACAAGTAAAAAAATACAAAAAAATATAATAATTTTAAAATAAATATTTTTATTTAGCATGGATGTATCTATGTCCGACGAAATGATAAAGGTGATTTAGATCGTGTTGAAAAAGGCATACGTCAAATAAGATCTAATGGTTTACCTGTTTGGCTTGTTATATTTCCTGAGGGTACTCGTTATAATCCGGAAAAAAATCAAGATTCGATCGAACGATCACGTGAATTTGCACAGAAAAAAGGTTAGAATTCTATCGATAACTTTTTCGTCAAATGAGTATTACGATGATATTTGAATTTTTAGGTGTACCTCCATTTGATCATGTACTTTATCCTCGAACAGGTGCAACCATAGCAGCTATTAATGCACTTAAAGATAAATTAGATGCTGTTTATGATATAACTGTTGTATATTCGCCAACATATGATAATAATCGACAAATTCGATTAGCTGCATCGTCCATGATTGGTAAATTTTTGATTATTTCAAAAGAATTGCTTAATAAAAAAGCATATTTTTAGAATATTTACAAGATCAAACAAAAGAATTACATATTCATATAAGTCGAATTCCCATGAATTCAATTCCACATGAAACCAATGAACAAATATCAGATTGGCTCTATCAAAGATTTATTATCAAAGACCAGTAAAATTAAAACAAACAAACAAACTTCATTTTATTCTTTTTTTTTTTCGTTTCGTAGATTATTAAAACATTTTTATGATCAAAATCATAGTAAGGACAATCCATTTAATATATCTACAAATCAAAAGGGTATACAAGCTCAATCAACTTTAAATTTAACAATATTTTCAATTTTATTTTTTCTTCTAACCACATTAATATTACTGCTAACACCACAAGGTCGTGCATTTTATTTAAAAATATGTTTATTTGGTACACCAATTAGTCTTCTCTGGATGCATCTATTTCCACCGAACAAATACATCTAGTCATTTGTCTTTCTCTTTAGTAATCAAGATAACAAAATAATAATCTTTCACTATCACTTATTTTTACTAGTCATTGATAATAATAATAATAATAATAAACGAATAACTTCTAATCATCGATTAAGCCGTTTTTATGTTACAGTTTGTTTTTATAATTTCAATAAATATTAATTTATTCATTTTTTTTTGTTTTTTCAATATTAGATTAATTATTTAGTATAAAACATTTTCTATTCTTTAGTTTAACAGTCAAAATTAAAGGTAAAAATTTTCTTTTCTAAATTCTGTAAAATAAAGAGTATTGAAGTAATATTTTGAATAGAGATACATTTTAATTTTTGTAAATAATATTTCTCTATAGATTAGAATTTTTACACATACTGATTAGTTTTATATAGCAAATCAACGTGAGTATTCAATACATATATAATGACTCTAAATCGATTTCTAGGACGTATTTTTCAGTTAGTAATAGTAAATTAAAATTTACACAAAGGAATACACCTTTTTCTTTTTCTTGTCTTATATTACATTTTTATATCTATCACGATTAAAGTTAGATCGATACTATTAAGAAATATAATCCGATAGAGGTAAACATTTTATTTTAATAGATAGATTTTTCTTCAAAATCTAAAATAAACATCTTACGTACTCTATAGTTGCCTCATGTAAACATCTCATATCTTAGTGCATTTGTCATATAGAAATAATTCTTATGTTCTTATCTCTTTCCAAAGTCCAGTCTTTATTTCTTCCTTCTATGAGATATTTAAGTGCAAAATAATACAAAATATTTAATAAGAAAATATATAATTTTAGATGATAAGTTCTCCTAATCATATTAGCAATGGAGAAGAAGATGATAAATGTGTACCACGTGCAGCTGTATATAAAATGATAAAAGATTGTACTCAACATATTCGTGTATCAAGCGAAGCAAAAGAATTTTTTGTTCAATGTTGTAATGAATTTATTCATACAATAGCTTTACAAGCAAATACTGTTTGTGAACAACAAACAAAAAAACTTGTTCTTCCTGATCATATTGTTACTGGTAATTTTTTTTAAATAAAAAATAGAAATTTATATAAAAAAATGATTTGTTTTAGCTTTAGAAAATTTAGGTTTTACATCATATAAAACAAATTGTATAAATGCAATGGAAACAGCTCAAGAAGAGATGGCACAAAAACGTCGGAAACTTCAAGGTAAATCAACATCGATTTACACAGATGAAGAATTAAGACAACAACAAGAACTTTTATTTCAACAAGTTTGTTTTTATTTTGTAAAATAACTAAAAATTTTAATTGTCTATATATATATTTAGGCTCGAGAAGAAGCTCAACAATTAGAAGAAGATGATTGGGCACGTACACAAGAATTATCAAAAGAAGTCTTAAGAAAAAAAATCGAAGCAACAAGAACGGATGATGATAATTATGATGATTAAGATACTTACATTTTCCTTTTGTAATATACACACACACATATATATATATATAAATAATAATGACATTCAAGTCATATAAACGTTTTCATGTCTTACCTTTTTTTTGTTTTCTTTTGGCTTATTAATATTCAATAATTTCAAATATGGTGTTTGTTTGATTTTTTTTCTATAGATGTCGAGAATGAAATTGTATAAGGCAAAAGATTCATGGATTGTGACTACTGAGGAACATAGTTTATGGTTTAATAGACGAAGTTTATCTATATATAGTAAAAATGGTATTTATTTTCTGTTTCTAATCTTGATGTTTTATGAAATAAAATTTTTTATAGAACCTATTACTGACCATATTTTATCATCACCAGCATGGGATTCTTCTTTTGTGAGTAATATTAATGGTTATATTGGAAAAGTACAATTTGTTAAAGGTAATAAATTATGAATATTATTCAAGAATATTTTTCATTTTGAAATAGATGGTCTTCATTGGTTAATATTTATACGTAGTCAAGAACTTGTCTGTGAAATAAATAAGAAACATGAAATTTATCGTATAACGGATATTCTTGTTCAACCTTTTGACAATTTTGAAGAAGTAAATTTATTAAATGTTTTATTTTTGAATAATAAAATATTTTTGTTTTTAGGAATCAGTTAGTAAAGGAAATAATAATAATAAATATGAATTAAAATGTATTGAAGTATGTTAATCAATCATATTGATTAATCTCAAAAGAAAAAAACTATGATTTCCTATTTTAGGAACTTCGTATATGGTATCAAGAGACTCAATGTTTTTATTATAGTCGTACATACGATTTAACAAATACAGTTCAACGTTCTGTCAATCAAGATGAAAATATACCATTATGGAAACGTGCGGATGAAAGATTTTTTTGGAATCGTCAAATGCTAAGTGAACTTCTTAATCTAGCAGATGTATGTTAACTTAAAAAAAATTCTTCCGTAAATGAAAGAAATAATTTTTTGTTCTTGTCGTTAAATAGAAAGAACATTTGGATACTCAATGGATTCAACCTATAATTATGGGTTATTTAAATCAATGTCATTTTACAGCTAATGAAGACACTGATGTTCAATTAATTCTTATATCTCGAAGAAATCGACATCGTTCAGGTGTTCGAATGCATTGTAGAGGAATTGATGAAGATGGAAATGTTGCAAATTATGTCGAAACTGAACAAGTAAATTTAGAATAAAAAAATTAATTCATAATTAATAGATGAATATTTATTTTTAGATCGTACGAACAAATACCAATCTAATGTCATTTGTTATGATTCGAGGATCAGTACCATTTTATTGGTCACAACCTGGTATAAGATATCGTCCACCACCAAAAATTGATCGAAGTAAGTTTAAATAAGAAATAGAATTTTGTCGTATAATAGTATCGAACACTATTGACGATCGGTTTCCTTTTGGATATATATACATGTTATTCAAAACTAGCAGTTTGTCGTTGTCTAATTGTCTGATGACATCTGTCAATCAACAATATTTCTAATTTCTAACATACGATTTTAGCTATTGTTTACAAAAAAATTGTTTTCGTTTGACCTTTTCTTTTTTAACTATACTAGAAAGAACTACAACATAAATATAAGATTTTTATTTTTAAAAAAAATTTTTATACAAAAATTTAATTAACAAATTCTATAAATAGAATAGTATGTATTGCCATAAATAGATTGTATATATATATCAATGATAAATACATAGATATCGATCAAATTGTAAATGCCATGCTTTCCCCATATGTAAAAGATTGTATAGGATAATTCTTCATTATTATTGATGATCTTCTACTATTATATTTCTCGTTTTATTCTGATGACATCGAGTTGTCTGGTTATTTATGATGTACTCTATATTAATAGAAAGAATATACCGAATAGTAAACTAGATAAAATTATCTTAAAAATAGTTTCTTTGATATACAATTATCAATTATCGTTTGAAGAAAATAAATTAATCATGTTATTGAATAGAGTTAATTTCGAAAAGAAAAAGCTGTTCAACAAGGCATTTCCGTCATTATTTATTATCAAGGTCAAATTAATGAATATGTAGATCATAGTGGTTATTTATGTTATAGAAAAGAGAATTCATATTCTTGGTGCATTTCTTTGTTAAATTGTTCTTATAGAAAAACATGATAAGAATGAATAAAAAGCTCAAGATTAAGAGCTTGTCTATTATTGAATTAGTCAATCTCGATAGACATAAAACTAGTAATAAGATTTGTTCAAATCATCCAGAGGAAACGAAAAAAATTTGCTTGATCGAGTTTTGAATAAAAGAAAGACATCTGTTGCATGTTTGTTTTCTTTAATATTGTTGTTGTTGTGTATAGACATTACGAAAAAGACTAAACACATAAAGTTAATTAATCACAAGTTATTCTAGTATACGATCAATATGCCAATGTCATTTCCGTATATCGTGACCGGAACAAGAAAAAAAGAAGAAGAAGAAAGCTTATTGATGTTAGAAATCAGTCATCATTTGAATATCAAATAGATCTATTTATTTGGTGTCAAACAAAGAATGAATTATTCTTTTAAGAAAAACAAATATTTTTACAAGAAATTATATTTTTAAATGCTACACGAAAGTTTTTATTTAATATAGCATATAACACAGGATTAAGTGATGAATTTGAATAACCTAACCAAAAAAATAATTCAATTGCATTAAAACTTAAACAATTACAAACAGCTCGAATAATATATAAAGTAAAAAATGGTAACCAACAGCATATGAAACAACCAATGACAATAGCTAATGAACGGGTTATACGAGCTTCAGCTGATATTTCTCGACGACCTACTTGTTGTTGATCTGCGGATGATAATTCATCATCAGTTACAGTTATTTCTGATTGTTGAGTAGAGAAATAGCGATAAGTTTTATCATTATTTGATCTTTGTGTACTACTTGGTTTAAGACGAATTAACGATTGTTTTTTTATGGCATATAAAACTTTTGCATATAAAAATATCATAACAATTAATGGAATATAAAATGAAAGTAATGAACTTATTATAACAAAATTTTCATCTTTATATAATTCACATTGACGAGTTAATGCATTATATTTTGTTGGCATTGGAATTGTTCTATTTTCGGCATGAGAATAAATTTCAGGTTTCTTTTCCGATATTAATGTCGGTAATAGACATATAGCTAATGAAACAAACCATGCAATACATATATTGCTTAATGCACGTGGAATAGAATGACGATGATGACGATAATATATTGGATAATTTGTTGCTATATATCGATCAAATGCAATCATTAAGAGATTCTAAATATATAATTACAAAAATTAGTTTCGTTTTTATTGTTCTAAATGAATTTTACCCAAATAGATGCTGTTGAACATAAAACATCTATAACTAACCACGTTTCACAAAGAAATTTTCCAAAATACCATAGACGAAATGTTGAATATGATGCTGAAAATGGTAAAACAGCAATACCCAATAAAAGATCACTAATAGCTAAATTAATAATTAAATAATTTGACATTCCACCCTGACGAATTTTTTTATCAATAATAAATGCAATAATAACAAGTGTATTTCCAACAATTGTCCATGTAGTTATTGTAAAAAGTATGATTCCAGTTAATATTACGAGGAACATTGAATGTGAATTAGAAAAAGAGACAAATTCTGTATCATTTGATGCAAGCATCAACAAATCTTTTGAGAGAAGAAAAAGAAAAGAATATATGTATATATATATATGTAAGAATAACTGTTATTGCTCTTTTTTTTTTTCTTGTTGTCGATCAAATAAGAACTGTCGATAGACGAACCAAAAAATATAGCCGTATTACCGAGTTTAAGAAAGATAAAAGACGAGCCACTTCAATCATCATATATAAAGACTTGTGTTTTTTTTTGAATGTACACTCATATTTTTTGTTTTTTACGTTTATTCAAGTGAATAATCTACAAAAAGAATAATATCGTCGTATCAATTATTAAATTTCTAACAATCGGATAACAAAAAAAAGAAAGAAAAGCGGAAGATATTTCATTTGTCTATTAATTACAATATCCACATGATATATGATTTATTTTTATCGAAATTTTTCATTAATATTATATCATCGCTTACCATAATATTGTATTACTTTCTGACGGTTGCTATCATTATAAATATCCACTCGGAAATTCTTGGCATTCCTACTTTCTATTTATTTCTCTATTTCTATATATAAATACTTGTTTTTTTTTCTACTAGAAAGAAAATCTGATCGATGTTGACATTATTGATACAAAGCGAATTTAGACAAAAACAGTACCGATAGAGAGTATCTTTCCAAAGGATTGAGTAACATCGATAGGAAACAAAAGAAAACATTTATATGATATTAATGAACTCAACCGATAAGTTCGAATAACATAGAAAATAGATCATTAGATATTTATCTTTGTTATGGCTAACTATATTATTATAGAAATCTGATGCAATAGAATTCATGTTTGATTAAATATGATGACATATGATAAACTGACGTCTAGACTCATGGGAAATATTTATAAATATATATAAAAGTCAATATTAATAAATTAAAATATATTTTCTCCTAGATTTTAATGAATCTCATGATGCGTTTGTTAAACATATTGAAAGTGAATTATTGACAACAAAAGGAAATCAACTTATATTAATTAGTCTTGTTGATGAATGGGGAAAAGAAAATATTCTTAATGATACATTTTTTGAACATATTACGAAATACAATAGCCCACAGTTATCATATATTTCATTTGATTTTCATGAATATTGGTAAGATTTTTCTTTTTTAAATTTGTTTTATGTTATTGTTTTTGTTTTTAGCAAGGGTCTTCAATTTGGAAATGTATTAACACTTTTACAACTTCTTGATAAAAATAATATCTTTCGAGAAATGCATTTTTGTTGGTTAGTTTCGATTGTTTATTTTGTAATTTATAAAATAAATAGAATATATGTAGGATTAATACAGAGAAGAATATAGTACTTAGTGATCAAACAAGTTTATTTCGTATTAATTGTGTTGATTGTCTTGATCGAACTAATGTTGTTCAAGCAGCTATTGCAAAAACTATTTTAGAAATAATGGTATGAAGATTTTTGTATAAATATTAGTTTATGATTAAATTTTGATTTTAGTTAAAAAAAATTAGTTTATTAGATTTGGATGAAGGTGGTCTTAATGATCATGCAAGAAATATTTTTCAAACAATGTGGGCAGATAATGGTGATGCAATTAGTAGACAATATGCAGGAACTGATGCTATGAAGGTAAGACTGTCTATCTGAATTTTTAATAGTAAAAGTTTCTAATTAGAATAAATCGTATTCTTTTATTCGATCATATTTATTTAGAATAATCTATAGTATAGTTTTTAATTGGAAGATGGTAGAATGCGTACTTGAGTATTTGAAGTATAAAGATTAACATAAAACTGCCATGGAAATGGACATTTTGTTAGGTCAATAGATAGTTCCTTGGTACGTTCTAATCGTTCATTTTTCAGTTCAATCGTTGCTTTATTACAATCAATTAGCAATTCAATAGTTTCGTTTTGAAGAATTTGAATCGTTTGCTGTCTTCTCCACTGACCAGCAATCCAAACTTGATCTTTATTTGACCAACCATAACTAAACGGAGATTCATATGATAGTTCTCCCACAGGTTCTGTTTTTGAAATTATTCCAACAGAGATCCATCCACTTGGATCGAATTGCTCAATTCGAAATCGCAATTTATGCCTTCCGCTGGTATACTCATTTCTTCCGCGTATTTCTGTACGACCACTTCTGTCACTTTGAACTGCAAGATTACCATTTTCTTTTATTTCAGCAGCACCATAAACTCGTTCGAACACATCGAATGCATTATGTCGATCTATATAAATGCTTGTAATATATGGAGTGAAATTTTCACGAAGAGTGATAGTCGATGGACTGAGAAATTCCTGTCGTAATTCTTCTAATTTTTGCGTCCATCGTTGTAAATCGATTTCACTGAAATCACTGTCCTCACCGCTTTGTCTTAGTTCTATAGATATCTGCTTCAATTTATGTTTTATCAGAGTTGTATGTTCTGTAGTATATGTGCATAAATCGTTTTTAACTTTGTCAGCTAGCTGCCGAATCTTGACAATAGATTCTTTCTCCCATTGATCAACTTTTTGTATGAGAGGATGCTGTTGAGGATCTTCTGTTTGTTGAACAAGTGTTTGTTGAATAAGATCATGAGTTACTGTAATTTCTTCAAGCTGTTTGCTAAGCTCATTTCTGTGATCTATAGAATGTTTTGGACAAAAGACCTGTGAGCATCCTTCGCATTTGAATATTCCCTTTCCTTTATTACATATAATGCATAAGATTTTGGTTGATTCTGTTGCTGAAGCCATATAAAGTAATATGAAGATATACTAGTGAAACTTGTTGATGAAGTTTATTTATTTTCTTGAATAGAATACTTGACACATATAGTAGAGAAAAATAAATATTTTATTAAATTTCATTATATAAACATAAATAATATGATTTATTTCGATCTTTGAAAATATGTCATATCTGAATGTTGGTATAAAGAATGCTTCTCACGTGTGATCATAGTTGAAAAGATATGTTTACTATAACATTCAGAATCATAAAGCTAATAACTTAACTAAATGAAAGATATTGTTAGCACTTTTTTTTGTGAAGACATATAAAAGATGGATCAAGAATCGACTTGACTACTTTATAAATTTTATTTTAAAATAAAATAGGATACAGAGTTAAATAAAACTATTAAAGAGATGAGACACTTGATTTATATTAGTAAAAAAAATACATGTAGGACAATAATATGGTTATGCCTACCTGTATCGACTAGTTATGCGCACATGTGTACACATAGAAATTTCTTTTTGTAAGAAAGGAAAACGTCGGGTATTTTATGCATCATAAACGCACATTTTCATACGTAAAAAACTGTCTTTAGGAGGAAAAAAGTGAACTTATGAATATTCATGCTTTCAAATGTGTTCCTTTTTAAAGAAAAGGATTTTTGTTCCTTGCTTGCCTGTAATAGTATGTAATGTATACGCAAAAAACAGTATTATCAAATAAACAGATAGTTAATGACATGTAACACATTTTGTATAACGCGCTAATTAACTAAGATATGCATATGTTTCACATCGTAAAGAAAAAAAGAATGATTGGAGAAGTGGGGCATCGATCCCCATACCTCTCGCATGCTAAGCGAGCGCTCTACCATATGAGCTACATCCCCTGTAAATATCACTAATCCAATAAAACCAATTTTTTTTATCTGATCATTTCAGGGTGATTTTACACGTACAGGTCGGCGTGATATAAAAGGTGTTTTTGCCGATGGAAAAATTTCAGCAAATCGCTACTATCGACGTTTTAAAAAAGATACTTTACGACAACAATGTTATGATGCTATGCAAAAACAAAAATCAACTACAAATGATACAAATAAAGATGCTATAGCAACGGCTGCTCTAGATATAGATAATCCAATTGAACCAGTAAATATTCTTGAATTCAAAAAAAACAAATCAGTCATTATTTCTTTATTTGTAAAGGTATTAAATCGTGAAGAAATATTAAAACAAATGATACTTGATTGCCGAAAAATGTTTGTTAGTGAAGATACAGAAGATTGCTTTGGTACATGGTTACTTATTGATGACAGTGAATTAAATGAGTAAGTAAAAAAATATATATTTTTCCCTTTTATCACATTAAAATTTATTTTTAAAGAGTATTAATTGAACAAACTGAACCGGATTGTGTTTTTGTTCTTACATCTACTCGATATTTTGTTGTTTGGTAAAATATTTTTTTGTTGAAATATTTAAATGAAAATCTTATATTTTTAGTTATGATGAAACATTTCAAAAAGTTGTTTCTTTTAAAGAAACACCATTAACATCTGTAGATAAAATTGAAGTTGGTTAGTAGAATTTTTATTTATGAAATAAAATATGAAGAAGAATTTATCTTTTAAGGACCTAATCCATTAGCACCATCAGGTAGTTCGTGGACACTTCGTATTCATTATTTAAAAGATGAACAAACCAGTGGTTATTATCATCAATTTCGTGGAACAAATGTTCAAGTTTTTAATACAACAGTTATGTTTCTTAAAACTATGGATCAGATTAATGGTAATAAATATATAAAAATTCGTTATTTTCTTTTTTAATTCGATCATAATCATTTTAGATTATGTAAGATCAATTGGTCAAATGATTGTCTCAATTCTTAATTGTTTCGCACAAAAAACACTCGTACTTAAAGAAAAAACTTTGAATAGGTAAAATACAATACTAATCTTCGAAAAAAAGCTTAAGTAACTCTTAACAATTTTAGTATTGATTTAACATTGTGAGTAAAACTATTTGATTCGCTATGCTCATGATTCTTTTATTAAATAAATTTTTAATAGAAATATTTAAATTTGTTTTTTCTTTCTTTTCATATAGAGTGAACAGTTTACCTGATGATGTTGAACCATTTCAAAAACGAATGAGTTTTTCTGCAACAGATATGCCTGCTCTTGCTACAATAAACAATGCTACAACATCGAATAATACAGCCACACTTGATAAAATCAAAAATTTTGGTTCACGATTTTCATCTATGGTAACTCGACAAGCTGCACCAACATTTAATAAAATAACGACACAAGGTTTTTATTTCGATTAGTTTTGAAAGAAAAATTAAATTTTTGGTTTTTTTTTTCTCTAGCAAAACAATTGCCAATCAATGAAACAGTATCATCATTATTAAAAGTAATTGGTGATAGTTCATCAATGATTCGAGCAAGTGCGATTAAAACAATAGGAGATGATGAACGTTCATCAGCAACACAGGAAAATAGTCGAAAACGAATATTACAAGATAAATTTGATGAAAGAAAAAAAGACTTATCTTCAACACAATGTCAAACAAAATGTTTACTGCTACCTTCGACCGATCTGAGTATTATTTACATTCCTAACAGTGATCAAAACAAATAAATTGTCGATTCTTCTCTTTCTTTTTTATATTACATTTAAAAAAATATTTTAATAAAATTTAAAAAAAAGACAAATTACTATTACAAATCAATGACTGGAAGAGAATATCTAGAGCAAGTAAAATATATCTGCATGTTGATTAAGTTTAATGAGCATATGAATCTCGAGGCAAAATTTGATAATACTATCCCTAGGTATACATACAAATTATGTCAAACAGTATGTTTAATACTAATATTACTAGAATGAATAATTACATATGTATGTAATATCATCTCAGCAAAAAAAGAATGATTACAGATAGTTCATGATATTTGGTACACGTGTATTTTTAATACAAGATTAGATTCTTATTATGATTATCAGAGAATAAATTATTAACAAGAACAGCCTGACATACGTATCAAATAGATGTTTCTAAAGCTTTTACCTTCAAAAAAAAACCTAATGATCTGAAATCAAAATCGATTTCTTATTCACTTATTATTCGTAAATTCAAAATTCAACTGACACAGATTATATTATACAAGGGGGAACTTTGCCTTATAACAGTCAAAAGAACATTATTTTCTGCTTGTTTTTTAATACTCATTTTACATAAATGAAAATGTTTGTAGAATTACTTATCAAATAAATAGTAATTAGGCTAAATTTGTGAAGTGTAAAGAAAATAACTGATACCTCCTACGTTCTACTCATTTATTATACCTTCAGGTGATAAAGCGTGCCTGATTTTATCACTCATAATTAATTATTTATTATTATTACTGTCTGTTATTTTTCGTAAAAAACACCTTCCTATCAGACTTTGTTTGATTTGTCAGCCTTTGAGACTCAAGAAATAATTATTTACTAATTAATATAAGAATAAAGTACTTAGAGGATTTTTATATATCATTTAAATATAGAAATTGCATGAAAACATATATTTATAGTATTTGATTTCCGTTTAAACAATTTTTTCATTCATGTGGGATGAATTTGAACTGTTGATTAATCTAGTATATGTTATTATCAACCATTCTATACATGCATCAAATAAAACTTAAATAGCAAACATGTAAAAGGGAAGAAAAAGAAAAACTAGGGAAAAGATATAAAGATTGCATATTTAGAAGCAAAAAAATAAAAGGTTTTTAAAAAAAAGATAATTGACAGGCACTAAATTTTTTTCATTTTAACTTGTAATAAAAAATCTATGCCTTAAGTACCTAATGTCTTTTTAAGAAGACATTTTAACCAGGTAAAGAAGCTCTTTTATATAAAAACTTGAAGTAAATGTGAAAATTATTATTTATTAGGTTATAAGTACATTGATTCTATTTGCATAAATTATGTTATGTTTTCCAGAACTATTTTTATCAATTCTTTTTTCTTCAAATTTCGATAGATAGTCAAAACAAAGATGAATACAAAACTTGTTAAAGTAAGAATATAAGCTCTTCGCCGTAGGGAAGATATACGAGATAAAAAAGACTATATTGTCGTTCATAAAATATCATAGTTTTCGCTCTACATATAGCAATCAATAAAAAAAATATTTCTTTCTAGAATTTTTCTTGAGCATTTTGCATCAGTACTGACATAAGTAGATTATCATCTTTGACAGTTCTCATCATTAAAAAATCCAGTCAATCTCAATAGAATTCTTATCTGAAAATCGACTTCGAGATTAAGAGAAAAGAAATCTGTTATTTTTCAAGATAGTATACTATGCAATTTGCACGTTTTTCATATTATTATTTTACTAATGCTTAGTATTTTTTTCTTCTTCTTATAAACACAGAAGACATCCGAAGGATGTATCTTGTCAGTCAATCTAGTTTTATATCATTTTTTACATTTGACTATACAAACTGATTTTTTCCCTTTAGTTTCCAAAAAGCAACTACATATAGATAGTTTTTTATTCAATTATCTTCAATCAATCGTACATTGTATAGTATAAAATCTATTCCAAGATATAGATGAGATTTATTTTCTATTGTTTAATTTCAGGAAAAAAAAGAAACAGTCCATCGAGTACAATAATAACAAATTCAAATCCGTATAATACTGGTAAACAAGATATATGTCATGTACTATAGAAAACCAAAACAGTTATTACGTTTTTTTCTTCTTCTTCTTCTTATAAATCTATAATTATTAATCTGTTCTTTTGGTCTCATATGTCATTAGTATGAATAATCAAAGGATACAATATTTTGCGCCTTATATCTACATTACATTATAAATAGACGACATTTATTATTATAATATTACATTTTATAAAAGAAAATAAAGTGATTGAAAATACGGATTATTTTTTTCTTCGTATGTCGAGAAATTTCTTATCTAGAATATATATAGATAGATACTTTTATGGTATTAGTCATTTATAAAATAAAGCGACATATTTCTTTTTTTCTCTTTCTATCTATATAGAAAAGTAACTAGTCGATTAAATATACAGATAGTTTCTTACTGACAGAAAAGTAGAAGACTGTTGAGAATGACAAGTAAAGATATTTTCTTTTTTATTTTAGATGATAGATTTAATTTATAAAATTTAAGATGACAATAGGATTATGTGGAACATTTGTTTATCGAAATTCTTCAATATTATCATCATCATTATCACCATCTCCTTCTGCAAATGCTTCAAATATAACGGATGCTGAATGGATAATAAATAGTATAACATTAATTATATTTATTCTTGCATTTCTTGGAAATACAGCTGCACTTATTGTTATGTTTGGTAAACGAGGCTCAATACGATTGACAAATAACAAATATTTAGCTAATTTAGCATGTGCAGATTTATTACGTGCATGTTCAATGCCATTTACAATTATAGCAAGAATGAAAAGAAATTTTATATTTGGAAGAATGATATGTAAAATTTTACCCATTGTTCAAGGTAATAATTTTTCTAAAAATTGATGTATTATATTTTAATTTAAAAACAAAATAAGAGGTTTTTCTTAAAATCCTATTCATCAATGTTTAAAATATTAAAAAAAAAATTTCTTCTATTTTTACTAAAGAATTAGTATATCGTTTTATATGTCAACATTTTTTCAGGAAACTACTGACATAAAGTATATAATCTGTAGTTTATTCGGTATTATCAAAATTATAGTTCTCAGAATAAAAAGTTATAAATAAAGTAGTACGTTTTAATACTATAGAATCTTGCATGATACATAATGTTCTTCACAGGTGTGTAAAAAATATGATTTAATATAGTACCGCCCAGACAGATAGCCTAGTAAAAAAAACTAAATAGGTCTCTAAGAATATAATTTAGTCAGCATGTTGTAATTAGTTCATTTTATTACAGGAAGAAATTTTTGTAACTATTTTTGTCTGATTATGAATTAATTATTGAGGGAGAAAGAACATTCCTTTGATAATATTCATAGACATTTTATGTATACATTTTTTATGAAATAATTATAAGTCTAATATTAGTTTGTAATAACATATGATTTTCTTTTTTCAAAGAAAAATGAATTTGAGATCGGACATACTTTTAATATGAAATATGAACTAATGTTCGTGATATAGATATATGAATTATTGATGAAAAAAACAAAACTACCTAGATATGAATATTTAAGAATTTTTTGTTTTAGGTTTAGTTGTAGCTGTCGATGTTTTTACACTTGTTTGCATAAGTATTGAACGTTATCTAGCAATATGTCGTCCATTACTTATATTAAAACTTCAATCAGTTCGATTTGCTAATCTTCTTACTGGTATTATTTTACTTTTCATATGGTTATTAGGACTTTTAATAGCTTTACCAAATGTATATATGTATAATTTATGTTCGTTACCAACACCTGGTCGATTTAAATGTGAAAAAACTTCACCAAAAATATTTGATGAACGAATTTATATGGTTACTTTAGATGGTAAATTATTTATTTGAACAAAAAAAGAACAAATGAATATATATATATTTCATTTTAGCTTTTTATTTTATTATTCCAATGGTTGTTATGATTGTTTTATATACATTAATTATTTGGAAAATGTATAGAAATAATACAGCAAGACGAATGGTAATGTTACAAAGTAAAGGTTTGTTTTTTTTTTTGAATTACATTTAACAAAAGAAAAAGAATTTATTTTAGGTAGTATTTCAAGTAAAACACGTTCAAATTCATTATGTTCTTCGTTAATTTCTTGTAATAATTGTTTTCAATATCGATCAACTAAATCAAAAACAAAACAAGAATCAACAATAGAAAAATTTCATTCTGAATCATTATGGCAAAAACGGAGTATTCGATTAAAATCAATTACTAGTGGTAATGATGATGATGAGGATCAAACACATAAGCAACAATCAGATATTTTATTAAATAAACAACAAACTAATCGAATACCTACAATATCGAGTCATGCATTACAAGATAATATAACGAAAAAAGAGAGTCAACGTTTAAGTTCACAAAATAGTAGTAATAAAAGTTGTAATTCATTATCAAGTGGTATATCACGTTTAGATCGTCATCGTCGTAAAGCACTTAAACTTTTAATAACATTAATTGTCGAATTTTTTGTTTGTTGGACACCATTATTTATTTATCATACAATTGGAACATTTAATAAAACATTTTATCGTTCAACACCAAAATTTTATGTTGATTTAATACTTCTATTTTCATTTGCATCAGCATCATGTAATCCATTAACATATTATTTTATGTCTAAACGTTATCGAACAGTTTTATATTCTTATTTACCATATTGTTGTCTTAGTAAAAATCAACGAATGTCTACGAGGCAAAAGAGTCAACAAACACCACATTTTATTAGAGGATTAAATTCATCTTATCATCAAAATTCAATAGATAAAAATCAAATAGAACAATTACAAATGAATATTTATCAACATTCTTAATTAAAATTAGCAATAAAAAGTTATTTTATCTTTATTTGCTTTTTCTTTTTTAAAAATTTAAACTATTCTTATTTCGTGTTTTTTTTTTCTTGTTTAAAATAAAATTCATGTGAATAAATTCTTCACTATTATAATTATTTACATGAATTAAATATGTTTTCTATAACATCAAATAGATAATTAATTAGAAGTATTTATACAGATTTGAATACATAGTTAATGATTGATATCAGACTTTTGTGAAATATTCTTAAGATTTAATTGAAAACATGTCTGATGAGTTTTTGAAAATAATAGATTGATAATTATTTAGAAAGAAAAATCCGCCATTTTTTTTTATCATCCTTTTTTTCTATCGAAAATACTTTGTATTAAAATGAATTTTCATTTAAATGAATTTAATCGAATTAGTGATAAAGAAATTAAAGATTATTTATATGATGTAATAGAATCTATTGGTGAGTTAAATACTCCTGGAAATGAAGAAATATCTAATATACATAACAGGTTCAATGATTTGAATCAAATTCTGCAGACTAATCCTATAACAGCTAATGGTGATGTATTAAATTGTTTGAAGAATAATGATAAAAATATTCAATCATCAACAGAATTAATATTAGATGAACAACTGCTTGTTGATAATAAAATGAAATCAATACAAAATATTATTTATGAAGATAAGCGAAGTATTATAACTACATCTAAAGAATATTATATCATAATTAAAATAAATCTTATTTGTTATAGATTCTACAACTTCTTTGTCAATATGTCATCTTTTTCTTTATGATATTGAATGTTATAAGAAATCTACTTGTCTTGCTCTTCCTGAATTGATTCAAAATAATATCAAACTATGCAATTCTTTTCAACAATTATGGTCACCTCAAATATATGTAACAAAATCAATAGATTCTAAGAGATCAAAAACGACATTATTTCATTTTTGGTCATTAATTATTCGTATTTCTAAATTGATCATTAATGGATTAAATGCATTATATTCTTATGTTATATTTCTTCGATACGATACAGTATTATTTTGTTTTTGTTATTTATTAGGTATTCTTTTTGGAATAAATATAGATTTCTTAATTGATTTTATATTCATTATAATCTACATTATTTCGATTTTTATGACTACATATGAAAAATGGCTTTTATATCAAATTAATTTAAATGAATATAATAGTATTAACAATGAAAGTCAATGTTGGAGACGAATTAAATTAGTAGCTTATGGATTTATTCTAGGAATTATTTCAATTTATATTATCTGAAATTTTGTATAAATATAGTTCTATACTTTACAAATAATAAAAAACTAAATTGGATTGATTATGTATAAAGATGCTAGTGTTATTCATTATGGAGATTAAAATCTAAAATAATTACTGTTACTATTAGGAATATATATTGAATGAGCCAAAAGTCATGGTCGTTTAAGAAATCTTTTCATATATGAAACGTTTGCTTAAATCAGCTAGATGCTCAATTGTTGTTCTGTAAACTTTTATTTGGAAATGAGTTCACAATAAGAAGTTGAATCTGAGGATCGATGGATTCGTCAAATAAGAGAACATCACAACATAAACGAATAAAATAAAAAAGGATACGAATATAGTATGAACTTTGTCAATAAAATTTTAATAAAAAACGAAAATATAAATGAAAAGTAGAAATAATAGATTTTTTAATATTTATTATCAATACAGATAAGAATCAAAAGTAGACTTATGAGATAATTCTTTTGAGAGAAATTCAATTAAAGAAGATCATCAGAGGAAACGAGAAATTTTGTTTATTTTGTCGTGTTTTCAACATATTCTCTAAAGAGAATATTTCTAGAGAAGGGTAATAATAGAATTATTCAACTTCTTTAGAATATACATGAGAAATGGTTTTTGTCCTTTCTTTTCCTTAGTATTTTTCAAAATATGACTTGGAAATGAAGCGTCGATAAACAGGTATCTTTTTAATAATGAACATCGGGAATAAAGTGATTTGTCATTCTATAAATTATCAACTAAAGAAAACATTTCGACGATTTCAACACACACTTTTCTCACTCTTCTTCATGTAGATTATTTTTCCGTTTGTTGTCTTTTCAGTTTATCTTCTATGATATCACTTTGTTTCAGATATATATTATAATTGAAATAAACTTCACTGTGTAAGCCTAACTACAAATACACTCAGAGTGAATAGCACACTGATTCATACTCCCACTCATCTCTTTTTACTTTCCATAATATAAATTCTGTTTTCTTTTTTATTCAATGGATCAGAAATAACTAGTCATTTTTCCACAATATGCCTTGCTTCTTTGGCATGAGCATTTGATCTATTCTTTATCGAAACTACCATCCCTTGTATAAAATTATGCACATAGTAAGAACATAGAATACAGCAATTCCGCTGATCAAACTATTTGACAAAAAAGAATTTCGTTGGAAAAAATTGATTTGTTTCAACATATTACTCAGTTATTCATTTCTGATGTATACTTGAGAACGATTATTCATACGTTATTATCCAAATACATGTGGCTAAGAACAACAAATGATTAATATTCTTCACATCGGTATTTATATCCACTCAGTTGTTAAAATAATGATCTGTCTTTTATTAGTTATAGCTATTTTTCAACAACCACCATACAATATAACATCGAGATATTACTGCAACTCATATATTATTTCGTGAATGATAATTTATTAAGCAATGTGCATGATTAAATAGTTTGATTATATATTAAAAAAAAAAAGAATTATGATTCAGTTCACAAAAGAAAATGTCTTTTTGTCTATATTGATTAATAAAGCTCAGCACTATTGAGATCAACACTACCGGTGCCCGCTCCACCAGTAACTAATACTAATCCATTTGCTAATATGGATGCTGCGTGAGCAGATCGTGCAATGTTCATGCTTATTGTAGTTGCCCAAATGCCTGTTGATGGATTGTACAATTCAGCACTGTTGATAGAATCACTGCCGAGTCCACCAGCAAATAATACTAACCCATTTGCTAATGTGGATGCTGTGTGATAACATCGTCCGGTACTCATGCTTCCTGTGGCTGTCCAAGTACCTGTTGATGGATTGTAAAACTCAGCAGTATTGATACAACCAGCACCATTGTATCCACCAGTAACTAATACGGATCCATTTGCTAATGTGGTTGCTGTGTGCGAAAGTCGTGCGACATTCATATTTCCTGTCATTGTCCACGTGCCTGTTGATGGATTGTACAACTCAGCAGTATTGACAGGATTAGTGCCGTTGGATCCACCAGTAACTAATACGAATCCATTTGCTAATATGGATACTGTGTGCTGATGTCGTTTGACATTCATGCTACCCGTAGTTGTCCAAGTGCCTGTTGACGGATTGTATAATTCAGCACTAGTGAGAAAACCACCGCTGTATCCACCAGAAACTAACACTAGTCCATTTGCTAATGTGGATACTATGTGTTCATATCGTGCAGTACTCATGCTTCCTGTGGCTGTCCAAATACCTGTTGATGGATTGTACAATTCAGCACTAGTGAGAGAAACACCAGGGCTGGTCTGGCCACCCGCAACTAATACTAATCCACTTGCTAATATGCATACTGTGTGCA